GTCCTACCTTGACGTACACATTCCCCACGAGGTGGTCTCCAAGGTTGTCACAGACGTTCATCTCCTCCACCTCCCCGTACTTCTCCTCCATCTCCGTGAAAACCTCCTGTCGGGGAGGACACGGGTTTAAGGGCCACAGTACAGAGGAGAGCAACTGAATAGAACACGGGTAACCATCTTCATCAAGGGGGAAAAGCTCCAATCCCTCCTAGCAAAGGAGGGCAGCCAGCAGCTCACCTCAAAGAACTCATCATAGTGCTCCTGCATCTCCACGTCGCTCACGGCACCTGCAGACAACAGAGATCTTGCTGGTCAGAGCGGGGACTGCGGCCTGGGGCTCTCGAGCTTAAACTCAAACTGCTACAGTGACACACATGAGATTGTCTAGAGAGAGAACGAGGGCTGCCCCAGCGGAGCACTGACGACACTGCGTGACACGGCTACGTGTGACAATTTCAACGTGTGCTGAGGTTTTTTAAATGCCCCTTATGACAGTCTCAATCTGGCCATTAAAATACTGAAATCACAACAGGTTTTAATCAGCATCAAAGGGCCATCATTTTCAGAAAGTCTGAGGAAAAGCTGACTCTCAAGGAGATTTTAAATGAAGATTTCTTCCTCTTTAGATTTAAAGTAGAGGCTAAGTAATCACACTGATTTTTCACCTTTCAATTGACTAGAATGAAAGCTGAAACCAGGGTAAGTGATCAAAAACGTATGATTCCTGACTAATTTCTTTTACCAATTATCAGCCACACAGAATGTTACATGATTGTTTCTGATGCGATTAAAACCCAATGACTGAAAATAAAGACTCAGTAAGATAATTGTTCAATGACAGTCCTCTGAAGGCCCTCTTTTGCATAAAGGGAGAGTTATAATGCTTTGTTGAAGAAAGCATCATTTTGTATTTCAAACTATTTTCATCAAGTTTATTCTTTATAATCCACAGGCACTAAGTGAAACCACGCCCACTGTGCGGATAGACTTTGCAAATTTACATTCTATCCTCATCATCATTCTACCAAATGTGACCATTCAAACCCCATAAAGTTCTCCGCGCCCAAATCGGAGAAAGCACAAAGCTGGCATGTCGTAAGTGGGCGTTCCAAACAGCCAGGCCAGGGAGTGGCTTGAAGGCTGGGCCGCCCTCCTGGACTGGTGGCCTCCTCCGGGCGCCCTGCCCGGGCCCTGGCTGTGGGCCCTCTCCACTCTGTGCTGCCTCGGAGAAGCTCCCTGGCTCTCTTGAAAACCTTTTTACTTTTACGGGTAAGAACTAGTAACTTCAATCTTTTGATTCTGACAATGATTTGAGTTCCCTTTCTAGTCATGGGGAGGGAGATGTCCCTGTATTTTAGTTATTTTTGGATTTCCAGGAACCCCGCCTGCTTGAGAACACACAACGTATTGAATGCATCAGGCAGCATCGGCTACTCCTGACAGCGCATCCCAGTTTAAAGCTATCATGAACGTACCTCCTTTCCTGAGGGGAAATCAAGTTCCAAACAACAGAGAAGCTAGTCAAGAGGAGCCCATTCCAAAGGGCAGAGCTTAATATTTAAAACTAACTTCCTTCTCCACATCAGAAAAAACGAGAAGACAAAAATATCTACACGCTCAAAGTTTTAGCAACATTGAGAGTAAGTTTTGGTGACTGTTAAAATGCTGTCTGTATTCATGGCACTTCTGTTCTGTTACTATATAGCAGAGTACTGTATTTCAATAACTCACGCAAAGTTCCTATTTGAAAACACTTGACAATGGGCATATTTTATCTTCTGTACTCTGTTTAATTTTCTGAGTCAATCAAAATGATGTGAAAGGCAGAGATGAGCAATTAAAAAACTGATCAACTGAAACATTTACAGGACTTAATATATTTTAAATACAATTCAAAAATACCCAGTTTTCTTACAGAAATGTTCTTAAACTAGGGTTCTGTACATGTAAGTTTAATCCAAGAGTAGAAAGCTGACTTTCCTACAGATAAAAGGGAATTTTAAAAAGAGCCAGTAACTTTAGGAAACTGAGGAAACTCGCTGGCTGGCATTCTATCTGGCCTGCTGCCAAATAGTTTAAGTTTATCAACTTAAACTGACATTCTTCCTAAATTGTAGCATCAGAATTTCACTTAATTTATACAATCTGGACCCCAGAACTGTAATATTTAGCACAGCTAAACTTCTATTTTGTAGCATACGCAAAACAAGAGTGCTGTGAATCACATATATAGACACAAAAAAATAAATACAACATTCTTCTGTCAATAAAGCATGTGCGCAGCCCCAGGAAAACCGCCAGGGCAAAGACTGATTAACTGCTGCCACTCAGCCATCTACTTTTCACTCACTTTTTCCCCAGGGTAGGGCTGTTACAAAAATCGTTTAGTAAGTCCACAGAGAAAACAGTTTCCTCCACCTATTGCTCTTATTTCTTTAAAAAAACCAAACCAAACAAAAACCAGGCATTTTAAACCAAGGGCTACCAAATAAATCCTGCTACCATCAGATTCAGGGAAAGAAGTTAATTCTCTATCAGGTCAGTATCAGCATCAAAACCACTGAGCGTCTTGGCAGGGAGACTGTACATGCCTCTCCCCGCAGACACGGCACCGCCTGCGCACAGGCGCACAACCCGGAGGCCTCCCAGCGCGGGGCCAGCCTGAGTGGGTAGCGGCTGCTGGGACCAGGTCACCTACAGTCTGAGGGGCTCCAGGCCAAGGGCGTGTCTGACTCAGGTCTGGGGCCACCCATGGGTACCTTATGGTATTATTTTGTGGTCTATGTTTTTCACAGCTTTAAAACAGACTGGTGAATGAGAAACATCTACCTTTTGGTTTGGACCCCTTGATTCTTGATTTTAAGATGAGTCCAGGATGCTCATTTCAATTTATCCACAGGTGATTAAATTTCTTCTGCAGCTTAAGAGTTATAAGCCTGAAGTTTTAGTTTCTTTAACTTTCCAACAACAGCAATATTTACCCTGTTCTCTAAATGCTACCCCTCGGGAAATACAATACCCATAACTCAAAACGAGTGTTTCCCAACGTGGCAAGAAACCGGCAGTGTCTACTGGACGCCCGGTTTAGACCTATTCCCGACCGAGCATCCTTTATTTTCCAAATGCAGTAAACTAACTCCTGACGTTGGAGCTAGACACCTCAAGTATGTTGGTGAAAAATGAGTCAGCACAGGGCTGGTGGTGAAGGGAAACTTGGGGTCAGTGCCCCTTGTGGGGCCCTCATTTGGGAAACACTCTCAGAGCAGTGCTCTCACAATGAAAAGCATGATCTACAAAATGGAGTCTCAGGGGCAAAAAAAGTTTAGTAAGAAATAAAATCTGAAAAATAATTTCAGAGCAATTTTTCTGTAAGTCAGAGAACGTTCACTCTTATGGGGGAAGAATGTGACCACACGTTTAAGCCGCCACGTTCTCCCTGATGACAGCCAAGGGCAGGGAGGGCAGCAGCTCCAAGCTCTTGTCGAGGATGCCCTCTCCAGTCCCTTTCTTCCTTCCTAAGTAAGTGGGTTCAAATAGCAAACAGAGGCTTCCACGGGGTCAGTGGGACAAAGCTCTCGACACCTCTAATGGAAGGTGGTCCTTCACACTACAGCGCAGACCAGATGGAGTTGACACTGAGCTCTGACACGCAAGCCCAGGGAACCAGGGAAGGAACTTGTATGAACTTACAGCGCAAACCGTCAGCAGACTGGGAAGAGTTTTGAGGGTTACGGTAAATGTTCAAGAGGGCAATGGTCTGAAATACAAAACGCAACAACTTTATATTATGGAAAATTAAATGTAAACACTTAACCGGTCTCCTGCGAAGATCGCTTCAGTCAAGACTCAGTGCTGAAAAAAGAGCAAGTTATTTTCTTTGGAAGCAGAGACGTTTCTTAGTTGATGGCTGTCTTGGAGCACCCTAACACTGCGATGGAAGAGATCCCATGATATGCTAATACTGTATTTCTGCCACAGACTGTAACAATTCTCCAAGTTCCAATCCAGTTAAGGCTGCACACAACTTGGCAGGCTACTACCAAAATACTCTTGTTGCAGAGAACTTTTAATGAACACATGAGAAAGAAAAGTGCCTGTGTAAACTGATTAGAGAAATACAACTATTACATATCATGAAATCTCCACTTCCTAGAGGAAAAATCGTAATGGTGAAATAAAACCCACACTTACTGGGCAACTTACCTTACTGATTCCTAAGCATTCCTAAGATTTTTGATTTTACAGGAAGAACTTAATAATTGCCAGGGGTTCAGTCACTGCAAAGACCAATGATTGGCTGGTGACGTTCAGATGTCACAGGGACGGACCCCTCTTGTTAAGCAACGTCAATCAAGGGAAGAGGCCGGGCCATGACCTTCCCCAGACAGCCTGCTGAACGTGGCCAAGTATCAAGTTCTTGCTGTGCGCACCACGGACTTCCATCACCTTGTCCTGTTTGCAACAGCTCTATGTCAGCAGCTCAGAAGCCAACATTATTTGTCTCAATTAAGAGTGGGCTCTTTAACACCATTGTTTTAAAAAAATTTCTCCAACTGTGGGACTTACAGTGTGAGCCGTCAGCCGTCTGTGCACTGTTTTGGGGATTACGATAGATGTTTTGAATCAAGATGGTCTGCGGGGAAAAAAAAATAAAAAGGGGAATTCTACTGGCTGCTGTGCATATATTAGACAATTGCAAAGAGACAACTTGTTTGCAAATGGCTCAACGCTTGCTGTTTGTTTCCTGCAAGTCAGACACTTGTCTTCTGAAGAACACACCCAAACCATCATATTATGAAAACAGAGTTTGAGCAGTGACTTGGGTCAAGTCAGCCAGCAACCAAGAAGAAACTGTGACTGTTACTTTGAGTAGTAGTCCCACGTTATTGAAGTGTTTTAAGGCAAGGTAAACAAGAGAACGCTAACATTTTCTTTTACTTCAAGCTAGCAGACACTAAGAGGTCAAAAAAAGTCACATTATAATCATATTCCCCATAAGAAATTATTTTTTTAAACCAAATGCATAACTCAGCTATATGCAGTCCATCAAGCTCTCTTGGTCTCGTAGGAAACAGGACACCGAATGGGTTTCCTAACTGTCATGGACACCTATCACATTTACATTTTCTTGGTGGGATCTCTGTTTACATAATACAATAGCTTAAAACATTTGCTCTTTTCCGATCCTTCTTTTAAGGGAAAAAAAATCCTTTTAGCCCTTGTGCTTTAAACTGGATCAGGCAGACTTGAAACCTTACATTGTACCGTTCTTCTTAAAATCAAGTTGTCTGAAAAAACAAACCATGTTTAAGTTAGTAGGCTAGTATATTACATGAATCCTAATGTCCACATCACTGTAAGCTTAAAAAGAAACCCACACTGAATTATGCTAGAGATTTACAAGCTGAATCAATAAGCTGCATAATTTAGGAAAACACTTAGTCCCAACACGTGTCCACGGCAGTCTTGTAAGTGGTTTTACAGACCCAGCCAGTTCTACCTCTAGCTGCGTTCTCAAGGGGAGTGGCTGTGAGAGCCCCCTCAAAGGTCTGCTCTGGGAAACCCACTTGGGAGGACGCCCAACAGCCAGACAGCACACCCCTAACCAGACTCCCCCCCCAGGGCCTGGCCTTCTGCCCAAGCCACTGAGTGCTGCCCAGAGCCAGCTTATCTCGGGCCTCAGACACCTCCCACTCAGAACCGGACCCCGCGAGCATGACGACTCTGGTGGAAAGCTATCCTGAGCCCAGTTACTCAACAGGAAGCTAATCTGAGGTCTCACTTGGGCCATCTGTGTAATGAGGGAAACTTCACTTAAAGAGAGCAGTGCAGTTCCATTAGAACCAGGGTGGTCAGGATCACCCAAAACCAACCAAATCAATAAGACAAGAGGCTCAAGTTAACACGTACAATCGAGCTAAATTTTAAATGGAATCGTGGCCACTTGCCTAGTGGGTGAGATTCAGTTCATAAATTGAGGCACTTGAAAAAGAAATACAACAGAAAGCGTAAAGCAAATTCTCCAATATTCTGAATTTTGAAAGAGACGCGTTCAAAGCTAATAAATTAGGAAACACTGTCTCTTTCTTACACCAATTGGCTGATTTTCCTAAATACTTACAGGAAAACACTGTTAGAGGTTCAAAACGTGGATAAACACCGTGCGCTCACAGGCAGAGCCCGGCAGACTCCAGGGGCGCTGAGAGGCCCCAGGGCCCTCCAGTCCGGCAAGGACGGGGGTTCGATGTTTTCACATTCCAAGTGGCCAAGCAAACGCGGGCAGAAGTTTTCCGTTCCTCTTAGAGGTGCTTTCTCCCTTTGATTCACTTGCAGGGTGCAAACCCTTGTGTTTTCTTCAATTAACCAAAAATAACTACCAAAAATCACAAGTTTTGATTGGTCTGGACTCACAGCAGAGGCAAGCCCAAGGTAACAGGCATCTCTCGATTAACTGAATAGACTGACCACGAATAACTGAAGATAAACGCCCACGTTCCAATGTTAAGTTTCATTTTTCCGTATTTCTCTGACATGACACAACTTGGTGTTCCCTTGACTTGGATCTAAGGGGACACGCCCAGGAGCACCAGAGCCCCTGCACGCACAGCACCACGGCTCTGCTAACAACCACGCAGCACCTCTGCTGAGGTGGCTCCGGACACCCCCATGGCTGGCGAGAGCACCAGGCAGGAAGCGCGCCGCATCCGCCAGGGCCTGAAAGAGGCTAAGTCAGTGCTGGCCGGGCTGTCCTCCCCACCTACGTCTGTCAGAGGCAGGGAGGGTGGCTTGGCAGTGAAAGCCAGTCACAGCTAACACGCCAACGTGTAAAGATTCTTTTTAAAAAGTTTCTCTAATGATAAAAATAGGGGTGATGCTCTCAGACCTTCCACTAGAGGTGGGTCACCTGCCTCATTCTCATTTAAACAAAACACTTATGAACACAAATGGAAAACTAGAAGGAAAAAAATGACCTGCTTAACATGAAAATTATTAACTGCCTCTGTAAAGTACATGAAGTTTTTGACAATTTACATAAAAACAGGGGGAAAAAAAGGAAAAACAAACCTGGCTAAAGGTCGGTTTGTTGTGCAGCCGAGAGCATCTGTCTCCATGGCGACACGCTCCGATCTTGAAATAAAATGAGCAGTTGACTCTGTGAAGGAAAATAGGAGCTGATTGTTTCTCTGGGAAGATACCAAACAGATGGAAACGCATCATCAACGTGAGACATGCTATCAAACTACTCTCCCTCCGCCTCGCACACACACAGGCCAGCTGTGTTCACTGGTCGCAGTGTCTGCCCCTTCCTGGTAGTATTCTGGGACTACTCAGTGTCAGTTAGCTCCTCTACAAACACGCAGCCTTTCGACGAAGAGCACTCTCTTCTAACTCGAGTCCTCCTCACCCCAATCCCCTCCACTGCCAAACACAGCTGACCTGCGAAAAGCAAAGGTTTGGACTACATGGGTCCACTTATACTTGGGTTTTTTCCACTTACTAAATACTGCAGTACTACGCGGCCCATGGGTGGGTGGATGAACCTGATTCAGAGCAGCAGACAGGCAGGGCTGACGGCCACGCACTTGGCCCGCACCACTGGCCGTGTAGGGGGCGGCGCGCTAGCCCCGTGCTGCTCCAGGGTCAACTGCACTTCTCGGCTCTACTGTTTTCTCTTAAGTTGAATATGAGATTAGTCTAAAACTATATTTAACTTAAAACCTATCTGTTCTCTAGTCTCCCACGATAAAATTCTCTGGAGGACATCCACACAGGGCAGTGAGGGGTCAAGATCTGACTCTGCTGCTGCCTGTCCGGGCCTGAGCCAGTTTCCCCAACAGTGCGGGTCTCAAGAACCATCTGAAGACTGAGGAAAATGCCAACCTGGCATTGTTCCGAGAACCAGAATCAGATATACCGTCTGTGTGCTCATTACACAGTGCTCATTAAATGCAATCATCATCATCTACATAAAACACAAAGTCAGGTTCTCTCATCCAAGACACCAAACCAATAAAAAATTTCCAGAAGCAGGTCTGAAGTAAACAATTCCATCTGCTTCAATACACTGAAAACAAACTCTTAGGGAGTCCGCTCTACTTACAGGGCTAACGAGGCCACCTCTGTCCCCACTTGGAAGCCCTCCCTTATTATGCCCAATACTTGGACGATCCTGATAAAATCAAAAGCAGCAACCCAGCCAGCATGACAGCAACGCAGGGGGGCTTAGCAGGCCTGGGAGGTGTCCAAATTCAGGCGTGAGGCGGGAAAGTTACCCTGTAGATTCAGTTTCTAGCAAGCGCCATGAGATAGCCAATCCACAATTGAGATCAAAGGACCTCGATGAAATCTGATGGATTATGAAGATCAACTAGCCACTGATTTATTATTAGATGGAAGTAAAGATGGAAAAATCTGAATTTATCAGGGGAGAAAACGATCACTACAGTATCTGCCAAATTATCTTACAAGTCTGCTCTTACTCGAGATTATTTAACTTGAGCATTAACACTGCGTCTCCCATAAGTCACTCCAAAATGAAGAGCTTGTTTTAAGAACATCTCAGAATGGACAAAACTTCTGTCTCAACAATTAATACCCAACTATCACACGTAATTAAAATGATCCTTGTCTCTGTACTTCCAGAGATGACTTTCATTTCAGGATGCGCAGTTAATTCCTAACAGTGACACAGTGTATCAGCCGGAAGTGTCCTAGCGCTCTGCTTACTAACCTACTGAAATAAAAGAAAAAGATGAAAAAGACATAATTTACTATCACAGAGAAGATAATAGAGGCTAATCCATGCTTACATTTAGATAATGTCCATAACTTCACATGTGTAATTAGCTAAATATTTTTAATTGGTAGAGACCTACATTTTACTTTTAGCTTAAATGAAAAAAAAAAAGTTAGTGGGAATCCTCATCTTTAGTTTTTCAGGAGTTGAGATGTTTCCTGGAAATTAAAACCCCACCAAGTCTCCCTGAAACAAGAAACCTGGATTAAATGATCAACTTTGCAGAACTGCAGCCATGACTTTTACAATACAGCTCCAATAGACTGAAATGTGGTTATTTACAGCAGGAATATAAAAAATGTTATTGGAATAAATCTCTCAACTAAGAGTTTTGTAGAGTAAGAAATAGTGAAGACACCACATTATGCAGCTTTTTACAAGAACAAGGGGGAAAAATCTGCATGAACAGGAGTCATGGCCCTTACTAGTATCTGCTAGAGTGAAATTAACATGGCACATCCTTCAGCAAACTGGGAGAAGCCTCTTTTTCCAGTCAATTCCAGAGGTGGCCAATTCATTCCCGATCATGTTCCCCTAGCTGCCTCCTCTGTGAGCCACATCATTCGGAGCACACACCTCTTCCACATCACTTAACACGTTTAGGTGCATTTTACTTTAGTTACCCTTTATGCAACAAGCACCCCTCTCTCTTTGAGTTCCTTGAGAACAAGATCCAAATAAATGTTCTCCACCTCTGAGTCTCCAGATTTGGTCTCAGGTTGACACCCCATAAATGATTCTGGAATGAGTATGACTGACGATTCTGTCTTGTGAATTTTGCTAGGAAAAAACATGAACCTGTCTTCTAAACAACACAGATGATCCTAGCATGTGCAAAAGCAGACATTTTACAAGATAGACTGCACCCTGGAAAACAAACAATTTAAATAGTGTTCGATAAAGTGGTATTAAAACATTATCTATAGCAATCTTAGGAGTTTATCACTAAAAACATTCACATAAGCCTTGTACAGCCCTGAAAAATCCCGATGGTAACCACTTATTCAAAGAATAGATTAAGCTAAGCACTTAATCTTCAAGTTTTCGAAGTAAGAATTATCCTCCAAAGTGTTGAAAAACATCCCCTTTAGTCTAAACTTCGGTGAATGCACTGGAAATTAATACGTGGCAAAGTCAAAACTACACTTTTTACTTTTAACCTAACAACTGGCTAGGGAAGGAACGCAACCTCAAAGAGAGAGAGAAAAGAGAACCTTGTTCTTATATTTAAACCGCATCTTAAAGTATTTTAAAAGCAGACTATGTCTTTTATGGTTAGTTAAGCCGTAATCTCCATAATACTTTTTTACATCAAACGTCCTTAGGACCCGCCCGATCATCGCTCAAACACGCAAAAGTCTCGTTACGCGGATAAAGCCCCCAGCAGTTAGGACCCTAAGTTACCTAACGATGTACCACGGGCGAGATCTGCACCACAGCTTGCCCGGACTCGACCTTAAAAGCTGAAAGTTGGGGGAACTGTTAACGTTGACAACTTCAGCACAACTCGAGACGGCTCCCGAGAGCCGGCGGCCCGGGGCGCCAGCAGGCGGGCCGCCGAGGGGCCAGGCCGGAGAGGCCGCGCCGCCCGAGCGGAAGCCCGCAGCCCGCCCGGGCCCTGTTG